CATTATTCTTGGACATCCTTAATAAAATTTCTGACCCCGCCACTATCAAAAGGCTGGGTCAAATTTCTACCTAACTATTTGTGTAGATAGTGGCTTTGATGATCCAATCATTTTCTATAAAGTCGATTGTTCCATTTGGATTGATTAGGACACATAAAGTAGAGGTAGACTAGAGCCATATCCTTTTTGTGATCTACATTATTTCTGTCCATGCTATAATCTTTATCGTTAATTAAACAAGAAGTAAGATTGTCGAATATAAGAATACAAGTAATTTATTGTGGAAAACAGCTTGTTCTAAGAGAGTAAAAACATATTATGATCTACCCTCGTAAGATTAAATTTGCCACAAGTTACTAAGCTTGAGTGGTTTTTGAGTTATATAATTTTGTAATCATAACTCTAGTATCTTTTACTTCTACGTACAATCAAATTGATTATAGCAACCCTTTTGTGCAAGTGTAGTAATATTTTTGTGTTGAACTCATATTCCTTGATCCACGCATTTAACCCATAAACCTAATTTCTCAAGAAATCATTTTTGAACTTGGAATTTGCTTGACAACATATGATCAATAGTTTTCTTCAATTATTAATGGACCTGATTCTTTCACGAGTTCGAAGCTAAAACGGTAACTTTTTTCCTCAAACAAACATAAATGGTATATCAAAAAAAAAATAAACCAAAAGGGCAAAATCGCTCTGGAGGGAGCGATGTTTTTCGAACAAAATTAAAACCGTCATAAATTTTACTTTATTTTGAAAAAATTGAAATCGCTGCATGAGCAGCGTTTTTCCTCAATTTTTCTTTTTTTGAAAAACTGAAATCCTGCATGGACAGCGATTTTCCTCAATTTTTTTTCTTTTTAATTGTGCCTGTAGTGTTGTTGGCAAAGTTTGCATTTCTCATGGATCAACTAGGTGGCAAAATACAATGAGATTTATTACAAAGGAGGGGAAAATCATGTAAAATTTATTTGAACTTTCCTTTTATATATCAATAAGAAACAATTAAAAAAAAAATTGAGGTCAGCGATTTCAGTTTTTCAAAAAAAAAAAAAAGTTTGAGGAAAAATGCTTCATGGGCAGTGATTTCAGTTTTTTCAAAAAAAAAAAAAAAGTTTGAGGAAAAACGCTGCATGGGCAGCGATTTCAGTTTTTTCAAAAAAAAAAATGTTTTTTGACAGAATTGCTGCTCCAACAGCAATTTTAATCGACGGTGCAAACAATGTTAATTTTATTTGAAAGACATTGCTCCCTCAATAACGATTTTGCCCTTTTGATTTAATTTTTTTTTTGATATACCGTTTATGTTTGTTTGAGGAAAAAAGTTACTGTTTTGACTTCGAACTCAACAACATAACCCAATAATCAACATAACCAATTCATCCAAGAGACATGTTAAGGACTTGTTTTTTTGGAGTTATTTTATGTAATCAAAATTAATTTCAGTTCACCTCAACAAATTCTTTCTTTTTGATGATGACGAATTCGTATGCATTTTCAACATAAGAACCAGCTTGATTAACAACATTGACTTTGCAAGATATAGATCTCACAAGAGTCTAGGGACTCACATTTCACTCATTGCAACCCTATAATAAATGATTAGGCGTAGAAAACTTGATAGTTCATGTAACAACCCAATCCACTAGTGATATTTTTTGCTTTGGGCATAGGTCCACACGGCTTTAAACTGCGTCACTAGTTAGTAAGGCATACTTATTTATATACTCAATATCTCTCCTATGTTTTTGTTGATGCCGGAATTCTTGTCTTAAGCTGGGGAGTCACATACACCCCCGTCTATGGACTCAACATCCTCGTTGAGGTTTGCCCCACTATATAGGATTTGCCTAGACTCGGCACTGAGATTTGCCTTGTCTTACCAGGATTTGCCTAAACTCAATTGAACTCTGGCCCACATCGACAAGGCTAACACATGAGTGACATTAATACCATTTGTAACGACCCTACCCGCTAGTAATATTGTCCGGTTAGAACCTAGGCCCACACGACTTTAAAAAGTGTCACTAGTTGATAAGACATACTTATATATTCAAAGATCGTCAAGTATATTTTCTACAAAACATTAACATCGATACAACCTAATAGTCATAGGGACTATGATATTTAATCAATATCAAGTGCACATCTTTAATGCATTCTTTGATCACTGTCAAGTGCATGCCTTCCATGTATCAAGTTCACATTTTTATCTTCCCCTTTTTACAATATCATTGGAAATATATAAGGGAAAATGCATGGATTTCCCCTTAAACTTGTTTCGAAAAGTCAGTTACACGCTTAAGCTATTATGCCGATCTATTACACACCTTTACTATTTAAAAGTGAATTTATTAACCCCCTAAAACTGATGTGGCAAAATAATTTTAAAAAAAATAAAAATATGCGCGTCAGATTTATTAAAGTAGAAAAAAAGTAATCAAAATTCAGTTAGACCCCACCCCACTCTCCACATCTCTTCTTCTTCACAATCCACCACCATCTTCTTCTTCTTCAACCCCACCCTCTTGAGGAAACACATGTTTCTCCTCGTTCTTTTAAGCAAAAATTTCTCCTTTTTCCTTCTTCCACTTCTTCTCAGCTTTGTTAGCAAATTACTTATCATCAATCTAAGTTTTGTGGGTTTTGATTTGTGTTTGTTAACAAAAGATTTCTTAATGTCATCGATGGGATAAAATTTTGGGGGTTTCTTAGCCGCTACAGCTATGACGGGCTTTTTTGAGAGAACGGGAGAATTATTCACTCCATAAATCAGCTCCATGTTTCGATTAGTGTTCTTGGCGGCCATTGTTAAAATTATCATCTTATTGTAATTTTGCTATGAAGAAAATATAATTATTAGAGAATTTTAATAATTAATTGAAAATTAATTAGTGTAAAATATAGTTAACAAAAGAAAAGTTAATTAAAAATAAAAAAGAATATAACTTTTTTTTAATTTCTGACATGGCATCGATGTGGCAGCGAGTGTAATACACCACATATTGTGAGAGTGGTGCTACACGTCTACAGAGGTAAATAAATTCACTTTTAAATAGTAAAGGTTTGTAATAGATCGTCATAATAGTTTCAACGTGTAATTGACTTTTCGAGACAAGTTCAGGGGGAAATCTATGCATTTTCCCAATATATAATGTTAGTCAAGTTAAATGTGAAATTACGCAATATCAAACTTATGGCCACTGAATTTACACTAACATAAACATAACACAAGATTGAGTTAGATATTTTTCAACATGTTAATCCTGTAAATATTTTTAACATAACTAATCATAGAGATTTAAAAATGTGCTCTTGATCAATTCTTCAAACTATCAAACTACACAACAATGGTGAGCATCTAATCAAAGAACAACAGAGAAGCCATAATCGGCAATTGAGAGAAGCAGTTTGCAGAATCTGAACTTTGAGAAAATGTGAACTCACACTTTGTGTATTGATCGATACAAGTATTTATACACAAGAATGTAATGTTGACAGCTGTATCCAACTAAGCAAAAGTAGAAGATAAAAGAAGAAAATATCCTAACTAACTTTCTGATTCCCTAACCAACTTGATGTGATAGCCTAACTAACAATCTAACTAATTGACTAGCTAACGGTAATTAACACTAGTTACAACTAATTACAATGTATAATTAGATTGCTAATACCCCTTCTCAAGTTGGTAGTGATGATCTCACAGCCAACTTGCCAAGGACTGCTGAATGTTTGACATCAGTAAGTACCTTTGTAAGGATGTCTGCTAGCTGCTCAGTAGTGGAAATGTGATGAAGGGAGATGAGCCCCTCCTGAAGTTTATTGCGTACAAAATGACAATCAACATCGATGTGTTTGGTCCTTTCATGGAAGACAGGGTTGTGAGCTATATGAATAGCAGATTGGCTATCACAAAAGACAGGGATTGGAGAAGGATCAGATATAGTCAACTCAGTAATCAACCTGTAAAGCCAAACTAATTCACCTACAACTTTTCTGAGGGATCTGTATTCTGCTTCTACAGAGGATAGTGAGATGGTCTCTTGTTTCTTTGATTTCCAGCTAATTGGGCTATTTCCAAGTAGAACCAAGTAGCCACTGACTGATCTTCTTGAGTCTGGGCAGGATGCCCAGTCTGAGTCACAATATGCCTTAATTGAGCAATCAGGATCTCTGGATAGATGAAGACCCAAGGTTGGATCTTGTTTCAGGTATCTAAGAAGATGAAAAACTGTTTGTAGGTGTGGAGTTCTGGGGTCCTGCATGAATTGACTCAAGTGTTGAACACTAAAGGCTATGTCCAATCTAGTGTTGGTAAGAAAATTCAATTTTCCCACTAGTTTTCTATAATATGTGGGATCAGGAAGTGGAATTCCCTCTTTGGCTCTAAGCTTGACAGTTGGATCAAGAGGAGAAGAAAGTGAGCTATAATTGAAACAGTCATATTCCTTTAATAGATCCAACACAAATTTCCTTTAAGAGACAAGAACCCCTTCTGGTATGTCAAGTATTTCTAACCCCAAAAAGTAATGTAATCGACCAAGATTTTTTATTTTAAATGTACTGTCCAGGTAGGCCTTTAGATGTGTGATTTCAGTGGTATCTGTACCAGTGAGGATAACATCATCAACATAGACTGCAACAAAAACTACTAAGGAACCAGACTTTTTGTAGAAAAGAGAATAATCATGATGTGAATGGACATATCCTCTGAGTGATAAAGCTTCAGTCAACTTGGCATACCACTGTCGACTAGCTTGCTTAAGGCCATAAAGAGACTTATTGAGCTTGCATACCAACCCTAAGTCATCTACAGCAAGCCCTTGTGGTAGTTTCATGTATATTTCTTCATGGAGATCACCATGAAGGAATGCATTATTCACATCAAGTTGAAACATATCCCAACCTTTCTTGACAACACATGCAATCAAGGTCCTCACAGTGGTCATCTTGACTACGGGGGAGTAAGTTTCTGTGTAATCTACACCAGCTTGTTAAGTGTACCCCTTAACCACTAGTCTGGCCTTAAACCTTTCAATACTGCCATCGGATTTGTGCTTCACTTTGTACATCCACCTACAACCAATTGCTTGCTTTCCTGCAAGTAATCTCACAAAATCCCAAGTATTATTCGCATAGAGTGCATCAAATTCTTGTATCATGGCCTTTTGCCAAGCAGAACTTAATGTTGCCTCCTCATAAGATAAAGGTTCACTATCATGGCAAATGTTTTCAACCACTGCTTGACTGGTGGAGGCAATGACATTAAGAGATATGTGGTGGTGTTTAGTGAACAAGGCATTGAGAGAAAGAGCATTGGAAATAGATTGTGTGGGAGCAAGGGTCTTTAAAGTAGGGATAGAAAAAATGTAATCCTTCAAGTGTGAAGGGAGCTTATTCCCTCTTTGTGATCTCATTTGCATTACTGCAGGAGGAGAGGGCAGTGTGGGAGTAGGCTGATTGTGAAAGGGGGAATGAGGATGGTGTGACATATTTGAGTTAGTAGGAATCATATCTGTGTTTTGATTTAACAAAGTATTATCAGGTGTTGATTCAATACAATCAGAGAAATCAGTGGAAGAAACTGTTCTAAGAACAGAAGGAAAATTGCATTTTTCTGAAGTCAAAGTAAAAGGAAATATATTCTCATGAAATACTACATCCCTAGACACATGTATTCTTTTTTTAGCAAGACTCATCACCTTATATCCTTTTGTTCTGAAGAGGTAACCTACAAATATGTGAGGAGTGGTTCTGGGTTGGAGTTTGTCCCTCTGAACTTTGGGTAGCGTGGGATAGCATAAACACCCAAATGATCTTAGATGACTGTAGGTTGGCTTTTTCTTATATAAGACTTCATAAGGACATTTATTTTTGAGGTAGGTTGAAGGAAGTCTGTTTATGAGATGTGTTGTTGTACGTATGCATTCACCCCAGTATTTCATGGGAAGTTTTGATTGAAATAGGAGAGCTCTTGTTGTTTCCAGCAAGTACTTATGCTTCTTTTCCACTATGCTATTTTGCTGGGGTGTATAGGGACAACTCCTTTGATGTATTATACTTTTGGTTTGAAAAAAAAAACTTGTTTCAGTGTTATAAAACTTCAGCCCATTGTCTGTCTTGACACCTTTAATTATGGTTTGGAACTGATTTTCTGCCATACTTACAAAGTTTTTAAGAACCCATAAGGCATTACTTTTAGTGCTCAATAAGTGAGTCCAAGTAGACCTACTATAGTCATCTACCATGGTGATGAAATATTTGTAATTGTCATGTGTGGGTATGTGGTAAGGACCCCAGAGGTCAACATGGAGGAGTTCAAAAATGGTATTAGAATGTGTGGTACTTTGACTAAAAGGTAGTCTTTCTTGTCTTGCCATGGGGCAAATAGTACACATAAAGGGCTGTTTAGCAGAAAAACTAGCTGGAATTGTAAGTATGCTTCTCATCTTTGCAAAAGGCACATGGCCAAGTCTATAGTATGTTTAGTAGAAGTAGTGGAAGAGTTATTGTTTCTCAACACATTTTGATCATTATCAGAAGTGGAAGAACATACAAAAGTATCTGTACATTTATTTGCAAAGAAAGGATAACATTCAGCAGAAATGTTCTTATCATTTGAAACTTTACTACTAAGACTAGAAAAAGAAGGACTATGGTTGTTGTGGGGTATACAGCAACAGGTGGAGGATTTAATATTGTTTTTCAGACATCTTGAACAAAGAAAATAAAGCCCTTCTCTGCTATTTCCAAGCACTTGAGGCCTCTTCACTGAAGGGGCCTGTAACAAACAAGATACACTAGTGAACAAAACTATGCAATTCATGGAAAGAGTCAAGGAATGAACTGAAATTAGATTGTATTTAAAAGAAGGCACATATAATACTTTGTGTAAAACAATTTCAGATGTGATCACTGCATCACCAAATTTTGTCACTCTAACTTTATATCCATTAGGCAAAGAAACAAGCATAGGGTAAGGCATGGTTTGGATGTTGGTAAGAGAGGATCTGTTAAAGGTTATATGGTTTGATGCCCCCGAGTCAATGATCCACAAGTCAGCACTTGATTTAAAACATTCACATGAAGATTTGCCAAAATCTACAGAGGAAGAACATACTACAATACCTGTAAAGTTCACAGAACCAGCACATGTGTTCGAGTTAGTTGAGTCCTCTCCTTCGACTCGAAAATGCTGCAGGAGATTCATGTTATGAGCATATTGATCCTTAGTAAGTGTGGCATTTTGATTGTGATTACCCTGTGGACAGTCTTCTCCCTGAGCAGGCATCATGTCATCAGGAGATCCATGCACATTAGCCACAACTCTCTTTCCTTTATATTCATGATTGTTGTTATGTCTAGCATGAAATCCATTGTTCCTGTTAGCCTGGTTGTTGTGTCCTTGTGGATATCCATTTAACTTGTAGCATTTTTCCCTGATATGTCCCGTCTTTTTGCAGAAATCACAAAACATAGCATTCCTATTGCTACTGCTGCCTGAGTAATAATTGGATCCTCCATAGTTTTTGTTATTTCCTGAGGTACTGTTACTTCCAGAATAGTTGTTGTTGGAGAATGATGTCTTGTAGTTCCTTCCTGTGGGCCCTTTCCATTACTATTGGAAGTAGTTACACTCAAAGAAGCTAACTCCATAGGAACTCGACTAGAAGGTCTAAATTCTCTCTGTTTCTCCTCTTGGATCAGTAAAGAGAAAGCCTGTGCCATGGATGGAAGAGGATTCATCATAAGAATGTTTCCTCTTACCACAGTGTATGCCTCATTTATCCCCATCAAAAACTGTACCAAATGTCTATCCTATTCTGCTTTGTGTAGCCCATCCTTGGCTCCACAAGTGCAAGTGCAAGAGCACTGATTTCTCATATTCAGAGTATTCAATTCTTCCCAAAGCTTTTTTATTCTAGTGTAATAGACAGTGATGTCCAAATTACCTTGTGTGAGATCATTAATTTCCTTCTGGATTTGATATAACTTTGCTCTATTAGTCTGATCATACCTATCTTCAAGTTCTTTCCAAAGTTCCACTGAATCATTAACATATTCCACACTATCTGAAATCTCCTTAGTGAGGGAATTTAAGATCCAGAAAGTTACCATATCGTCACAGTGTTGCCATTGACGTAACTGAGGTAAATTCGCAGTTGGTTTACCACAGCTACCATCGATGAACCCGAGCTTGTTCTTCACTGACAAAGCTCGCATGACTCCTCTTCTCCAGGATCGATATCCTATGCCATCGAATTGAACTGAAACTAATACCATTCCAGGGCTATCGGAGGGATGCACATAGAGAGCACTACTTGCATCACCACCAGTAGAAGTTCCCTCTGTTGAAGGAATATTTTCAGCACCTATCATGGTAAAAAAATCAACTAGGAAGATGACCGAAAAAATCAGATCGAAAGAGACGAGAGCAAGCTAGGCTCTGATACCATATCAAACTACACAACAATGGTGAGCATCTAATCAAAGAACAACAGAGAAGCCATAATCGGCAATTGAGAGAAGCAGTTTGCAGAATCTGAACTTTGAGAAAATGTGAACTCACACTTTGTGTATTGATCGATACAAGTATTTATACACAAGAATGTAATGTTGACAGCTGTATCCAACTAAGCAAAAGTAGAAGATAAAAGAAGAAAATATCCTAACTAACTTTCTGATTCCCTAACCAACTTAGATGTGATAGCCTAACTAACAATCTAACTAATTGACTAGCTAACGGTAATTAACACTAGTTACAACTAATTACAATGCATAATTAGATTGTTAATACAAACTCCAAGCGGTTCTTTCTAAGTGCTCCTCACTTAAGGCTTTGGTGCAAATAGTATTGGTGTAAATTGAAATTTTATTTATGAATTTCAAATTATGAATATGAAAATTCATGTTTGTGACTGCTCGTTTTAAAAAAATAAATAGTGATTCATATATTTGTTAATTACACATCAATTGAATGTAAATATTAAAAGCATTCAAAAGTAAGTCAATAATTGAGTGTTCTGATATCAATTTGAGAGTTGAATCATGAAGAAGAAATTAAATAATTTTCATGATTAATAATATTTGAGCTTCAAATTTTAAAATTAACTTAACTGGATATTACTTTAAAAGTTTGGACACATCTTAAGGAGCTTATATATTATCTTAAATGATTTGTTGAAGATAAAGGTAATTTTGAGTGGCAGTTAACGGTGTATATCTTGAGTATATTTATGTACCGCAATGTATATTTTTATGTGTAACATGTATATATCATATGTAATGTCATGTACAATAATATTATGTGCATGATATACATATAATATATAATGACGTATAGAAGATACAAGTGTATACACATGACATACATAAGGTTGATTTTCTTCAACTTCTAAATTCAATATGATATTTCGCCCAAAAGCTCATCAAATTTGTTCAAGTCTCTCTTAATTTAAAATTAAAATATAAGCTCATATCTTATGTAGAATCACTTGTACAATAGGAAACAATCAAGAAATTACTAAATCATTTGTGCTTTAAGCTTTGTTCAAATTCATTAACAGAAATAATCATTAGTTAAAGTATTTCATAATCCACGTTTCATGATCAGAAATCAGAAATCAACTCCCATATTTCATAATCCACGTTTCAAGCTAAAAAAAATTGAATTGTCAAAAAGATAATTTGTTAAAAGAACTTTAAAATTTCAAAATTTCTCTATAAATAAATGAAGTCGTCTTAAAACTCGAATTTTCAATTTAAAATTCAGCTTAAATTCTCGCTAAACCTACAAAAAGGAACACAGAAGAACAACAAAATAGTGTGATAATCAAAATACAATAAACAACAGACAACGATAACTATTAAAAATAAGAACTATAATAATACGTGTACAACGACAAACACCAACAAATCTAAACCTTCAAAAAATACAATAACACTCCACTATCTACTAATCTTTTACCCCCGTCATATGGTGCCAAATTCTCTGAGCAATGCGAGATGGGCCGGGTCTGTTTAATTAGCATACACCATTTCAAATAGACATGAAATGGGCCCAAGTCCATTATTTTCGTTTTCCGGATCAGTATTTAAGCTCATTCTGCCCCGTTTGGGCACAAACTTTTTTAGGTTTTTATCGTCTTCTTCGTAAAAGGTAAAGCTTTTAGTTTTTATTTTCTGGTAAAATTACTGTAAATTAGGGTTTTGATTGTTGCTAGTATCTCATTTGCTGATTAGAACGATGGTTAATTTTTTCTTTGGCAAAGTAATTAATTTCACAAATGTAGCTATGCTTGTAAAAATGCCGATTTTTCCAATTTATTGAAATATTTTCAAAATTAGGGTTTAGTTGGTAAGGATTTAAGATATGAAGAGTTAAAGCATTTGAAAACTAGGGTACGTACTGTTTGATCGATTTCTGATAACATGGTTTTGTTTGGGTTCTGTCAGGTTTTACTGGAGGTGAAGATGAGGCCTATTTTTGTTGGGAACTTTGAGTTTGATACTCGTCAGTCAGAACTGGAACGGTTTTTCTCCAAGTATGGAAGAATAGAGCGAGTCGACATGAAATCTGGTATAGCTTAAGATTTTCTGTTTTTTCTAAATGATTTAGCTAGTTGGGGTTTGATTACTTGTCTTATGTTGTACATGCTGTTTTAAGAAGCAAAGTTGGAATAAGTTCGTGGCCCGTCCTGGGGTTAACTTGGGGTTTTAAGTTTCATGGAGCTCACACTCTATATATGAGTGTGCACTTTATGTGTTGGATAGGGGGTCTTCTGGGCATGCCTGGGATTGTCTGTCCGAAACTTTCCATTTCAATTACTTTAAGTATATGGTTACAACTTATATGTGAGAATTGTTTTTATAAATTAGTAATTTCTTTGTGTGATCACGATCCTCGCAATTCTTGGTTCATAAAGGCTAGTAGATTTTTAATGGTTTTTGTATGGAGTTGTTATTTAATGAGTATCATTTTCAACAGTATGAATTAATGACTGAACTTGCATGATAATTTTTTGTAAGCAAGTTCTTGTATGCTTGTCTGATAGCATTAGGGTCTTTTGGTTCTGGGATCTTATCTAATCATTGTCTTGTTTTAATCATTTCGACCTTGGAAAGTATGTACTTATTTGAGGTGTATTCTAGGTTACAGTTTTTTACCACTTGGGATAGTCGACTATAATTATTTTGGTTAAACAAACAACATAGCTATATGACTATGTCTGTAGCATGTAGAAATGCTATGCCTGAGTTGTCAAGACATAATGTGGAACCAAACATTCATTTGGAAAAGATCTCCACATTCAAGTGTTTATTTTGCCGCAGGCACATCTACTAAGGAAAAAGAGCTTCTATCATGGCTCAACACTTCTGTGCCCCTATCTGCCTGCCTGCTATCCTCCTTCTCACTGATGGAATTGTTCTGAATTTCTTACATCGATCTTCTGTCATTCACTTACTTCACTACTCATGTTGCTTATCACGAGAATGATCATGGTGGGATCAGTCAGTTCATCATGCCATGCCTACCACTACTAATAAAGGGGATCAATGAATTATATCATGCCATGACTACCAATTCTGAAATTGGTGATGCATGCTTAGCAATGACTACTCAGACCTGAGTTTTAAACCTTTAATAAGCCTTCATCACCTTGACCATCATCATCATCATCATGATCTAGTTCATGCAAGGCCTCTACTTCCTTACTTTCCTCAAGTCCTCACATACTTGCAGGTGTTGTACGTTATTTAATTTCTAAAGGAGATGAGAACTTTGATTTAGCTGATGTATACTATACCGAAAAGACTTTAGATCCCATGCCTTGCTGTTCTTTCTGCCTTGTAATGAAGTCTTTACAACTACTACAGGGTATGCTTTTGTCTATTTTGAGGATGAGCGAGATGCAGCAGATGCAATCCGTGGGACTGACAACATGCCATTTGGTTATGAAAGGCGCCGGCTGTCCGTGGAATGGGCAAAAGTAATGTTTCCATCTCCATCCTTCCTAAATTGAGAAATGCAATCTGTTAGACATTTCCTCCCCGAAAGGCAGTGCAATTTGTTAACAATTGTCATCTTATTTAATTAATTATGACTTTGTTTGTTTTGACAGGGTGAACGTGGTAGGCATCATGATGGCCCCAAGTCTGGTGGAAACCAGAGACCAACCAAAACATTGTTTGTAATAAATTTTGACCCTATTCGTACTAGGGTCCGAGACATAGAAAAACACTTTGAACCTCACGGCAAAGTCCTTCATGTTCGCATCCGCCGCAACTTTGCATTTGTGCAGTTTGAAAATCAGGAAGAAGCCACAAGAGCTTTGGAGTGTACACACATGAGGTTAGTAGATATTTTAGTCTATTGCTTATATTTGCAATATTCTGTCTGTTTGTTTCCTAACAAGAAGTGAGTTGGTAATGCATTTTGCAGTAAGGTCCTGGATAGAGTGGTTTCTGTGGAGTATGCATTGAAGGATGACGATGAGAGGGGGGACAAATATAACAGCCCAAGACGAGATTATGGCAGGCAAAGAGATAGTCCTTATCGAAGGTCACCAAGCCCAGTGTATCGTAGGAACCGACCAAGTCCTGATTATGGCCGACCTCGGAGTCCTGTTCATAATGGTCCATCATATGACAGATACAGGAGTCCACAGTATGGAAGGTATCGCAGGTAGTAAAAACTAAATCTTCTTTTTTCCTTTGATGTTTGGCCATTAAACCGTCTTAACAACATTTCTTGATTCAAGTAGGTAACACTTGTTGACGTTTTCCCTTTGTATTTTTCAGCAGGTCTCCTGTCCGGAGGTCTTGAACTTGAGTCAGTTCATTATCTGGGAGAGCTTGTGCTGTCATAATGTAAATGCTTGATGCAGTCTGCTTGTGTAGGAGAAAGATCTATCTTTTATCAGTGTAATGGATTAGCTGTTGCGTTTTGTTGCTTTAACTTAGTTGACTGTAGTTTGTGGATTTAGCTGTTGGAACATTGTGTAGTAGTAGTAGTATCTCATTGCCTATGAATGTTGGAGACCATTTGGTATTAGCTCATAGATAGGTTTGGTTGGAAACTTTTGCTCAAGTACGTAAATCTGAAATGCGATAAAAAGGGGATCCCTACAATGATCCTTTTTTTAAGTTGCTCTATTTGTTCTACTATTTTTATGTCTTATTGAAAAAATTCTAGTGGTTATACATGAAATGATATAGTTACCCCCAAAGCTTAGTTATTATTGTCGTGGTAAAGATTAGACCTCGCAAAGTCGGTGTGGAAGTTCGAAGAAAATGTTCTTAGCATCAATACTTTTATATCCCACAAGATTTTCTTCCCTTGGAATGACTTATCCTTGCTCACAAACCTTTTTTCCTTATGGTGACACTAATAACCCCCTCCCCCCAATTTTAATAGGATTATTTACAGTTGAATAAATGTCTTAAGACTTGTTTTCAATTAAAAATCTCAATTATTTTTCTTTCATTGTTAAATTGAGTGTTCAATCAAATGGTGTCAGTCTAGCTAAAATGGGGTGTTCTGCAACTGATGTCGAAACAGGAAAACTGCAAAATGAAATTTCAAGAGCACCGTAGAGTGCTGAACTTTCTTTTGAGAAGTGTTAGAACAATGAATCGTGTAAACAAGAAGGAGAAAATGGAAATAGAAAGTCTTCAGGATTAAAACCCTAAATAAGGACATAATTAAGGAAAAGAGTGTGGTGTAGCAATAATGAAGTAGATGAAAACGATAAGAAAGTAAGAATCTATATTCATATCTTAATAGGAAAAAAATTAATTTTGGACGATGTCTTCCTATTTACTTAAACTTTGGGTGGTACTATTATTTGCTCGACTTGTACTAGTGGAAAGTAACATATATTCAACTAAATAGTCGAAATTCGTGCAAGTTTAGGAAAAAAGGGAGTGGGGAGGGTGCATATTTTAGGGAAGTTAGTCAAACTTGAAGGGGGCTTATGTTGATATTGAGAATTGAGATAAACTTTTCATCTCAATTAGAAATAGTAATTTCCAAACTTATTACATCCATTGAGAAGGAATGGAAATATGGAATGAACAAATATGACTTAACATTCAATCCATAATACATATGATATTTAAGACTTCTCATAATCTTTTTTTTCCATTTCATATTTTTGGATAGACAATTATGATAATATATTATCAACAAGATGATTTTGCTAACTCTCTTTGAAGTGCCTTATCAAGCCATACCTCAGCATCTTGCATCATTTCTGGACTAAGTCTAACCATAAGAATACAAAATTCAGTTTCATTCAATGCTCCATCTCCATCTAAGTCTCCTTCTTTTACCATAGCCTCTGCATCTTCTCTGCTCATCTCTTCCATCCCTAAAAACCCCGAATTCTTTTGTAAGCTCGCGGATGTGATCAAGCCATTTTTAGGGTCTGCTAGAAGCCTGAATCCACCACATAGCTCCGCGACAAAGGCCTCCACGTCTAATTTTTCAGCCATCACGGGTAACAAGTCTTGATATTCTGTTGTTGCTTCGCAAACTTTGTAATTTTCCATTTCTTCTTCGTAGTTCGTACCTAGGACAAAGTTGGATGTCAACAACCGATATGAATGAAAGTTTCTATTAGCATAAGAAATGTTGAGAACTCTATTTATAGTGCTAAAATTTCTTGTAAGGTTTAATGGGAAAGTTCCCTTAGAATTCTAAATGTAATTAGTAATTATTTTGGTGAATATTATGGAAGTATTAAGTAATATTGTTACATTGTCAAGTGGAGAGAATCATTTATTTAGGTAGGATAGGTAAAAGAGAGTGGGGATGGGCTATGTCCTATGGTTCATATTAATTCATATGGAATCATATGAATGGATGGTTTATGTAGGGACTCTAATTTTGTTAAACTAGTTTTTTATTGGGCAAGTTACATATTTAGTAGCTGATTGATCAAAATAATTATATTCGCTAATTAAATATATATATTTTTTATATTTAAAATGTATACTTAATGCATATCTTATAAAAATATATATTTATTGACTATTATTTTGATAGACGACTATACAATATAATTTTTCACTTTTTTTCTTTTCTTTAAATAAGTTTTTTTTTTTTGGAGTTGTTTACGCTACCGCTCTTTTATTTCTAGATTCTAATCTATAGGTGTGGCTAACACTAAGTTGTTTTATTCGATTCATATTAAGTTTCTAAAATTACATAAATGTACTTGCCAACTAAATGACTTTTCTTTCCTTAACATTGAAAAAGACTAAAAAAGATTCACAAAATATTTTGTAAACTACCCAACTTAAATATAAAAATAATACAACTCCATAATAAGGATTGTACAAAAAAATTTAGCAGATTAGTGTCATGTTTGTATAATTGTATTCTTCATTTGCCAAAAAACATTACATATTGATTTACTTTTCTACGAATATGTTTATTGATGACCTTGTTGGATAATGCATATATGTTTTCTATCGAGCGATAATAACGTCGATATGAAAAGTCTTTTATAAAATTAAATTTTGAATTCGTCACTGTCAGAGTGGAACTTCTAGTTGTTTCCAAGTTGTCAACAGCATATATCGATCTTATAATATCGTGTAGGATAGTTTATTTGATGAGGGTTTCTAGGAAGGTTCATATGTGGGGATCTTCAAAGTGACTTGTGATTTTTAATTTAGCTAGATGTCATAAGTGTTCTCTTTCTTGGAAGTTTCCATTTGTCTCCATCTATGTATTTATGTATTGTGTGGCCCATGCCCCAATTATTTAAATGTTTGATACGAAGGAAAATATTTTTTTGAAAAATAAGTAATTTCTTACTCATTTTTCAATATGCATATTAAGAGCATGTTATAAGTGATATAGCAAAATATTATGAGAGTGGAAGTTCGAGAGAGGCGGCTGGCAGGGGACGAAATAGTCGAGGGGTGTGGATGTTAGGGGTGTTGAGTGGATGAGGAAGAGACAATTAACCTGAAATAACAGACTCAGTTATAACTTGTTTTCTTTGTTTTAATTATAAAAGTCGTTTTCTTTATTTGTACGAATTTATTTTCCTAAAGAAAATATTCTTTTCAAAATATTTTGATTAATCAAACGAAAACATATATCTTTTTGTTTTATATAATTTGATCAACACTCTTAAAAGATGAGTGATAATCGCTTATAGATAGTGAGAATATTAGTAATATAAAAATAAAGAATGTTTACTTGGTACAATATATTAAAATTATACACTAAAGTCTATAAGCTTATTTTATTAAAATTAATAAAGATAAAATTTAAATAAAATATTTAAAAGTTATATGATGGTTTATTGGTGATGAAAATGACTAACGATAATGATTGAGAGTGCTAATTAAGGATGGAAGTGGCAGTTGTGGGGAATAGCTAAGTAGTGGTTAAAGGGATAGTTACGACCGATAATTATGGTGAATTATATTTATCATAGTAATAACTCATAACAATGAGGGATGGCTCACACATATTAGTGGTTTAATGTCAAAATTTGAAGGAGGCTTTAAACTGTAACATATATATATATATATATATATATATATATATATATATATATATATATATATATATATATATATATATATATATATATATATATATATATATATATATATATATATATATATATATATATATATATATATATATATATATATATATATATATATATATATATATATATATATATATATATATATATATATATATATATATATATATATATATATATATATATATATATATATATATATATATATATATATATATATATATATATATATATATATATATATATATATATATATATATATATATATATATATATATATATATATATATATATATATATATATATATATATATATATATATATATATATATATATATATATATATATATATATATATATATATATATATATATATATATATATATATATATATATATATATATATATATATATATATATATATATATATATATATATATATATATATATATATATATATATATATATATATATATATATATATATATATATATATATATATATATATATATATATATATATATATATATATATATATATATATATATATATATATATATATATATATATATATATATATATATATATATATATATATATATATATATATATATATATATATATATATATATATATATATATATATATATATATATATATATATATATATATATATATATATATATATATATATATATATATATATATATATATATATATATATATATATATATATATATATATATATATATATATATATATATATATATATATATATATATATATATATATATATATATATATATATATATATATATATATATATATATATATATATATATATATACTAGAAAGTAATGGCCCGTGCTGGCATTATTATGTAATATTCTTCTTTTTTTGGTTAAATTTGTTTTTACGTGAAATTGGAGAAATTTTTTTGATGAATCTATCGGTGTGTTCTGTAAAATGTTAATTTTCTATATTTGATGAGCTAAAATTTTTGCAACATATTTCCTCTAGAAAATAAGTTTTTTTTTCTTTTGAATGAGGAAATGATTTCTATAATAAATATCATAACTTGATATCAATTAAAAGTTGGATTACAAGTATGTACCGTAAGATAACCTTGCATATTAATCGTTTGTTGATGTTTTAAGGAAATAAGTTTTACAAGATAGTTAATGTACACTTATTTTACATAAATTAAGAAAATGTGATACATTGTATAGAAAGTTAGCTGAGATGCAGATTGAGTTGTTTTGATCTTTGATCAAAAGATTAAGACCTGATACATATGAGAGAAGAAGAAAAAATATCATTCATAAATTACAAGATTGGAAAAAGAATCAAATCACAGTTGCTTGAAATAGGAGGTATGTACATACATGAAAGCAAGTGTACAATTACTTCAATATAATGACTTAAGAACCAAGTGCAAGGCTGATAAGGCTAGGTAGATAGCTATTGTTTCGGTGGTCGGCCAAAGCAGACACAAATTCATAAACACAAATACAAGTAAAGTTGTCGAGTTTATTCTTTAAGTTCACAAAGAAAACACAAGCACAAATCTTCTTGTGGTCCATGTAGGAAAAT